TTATATTTTATATTATAATATAAATAATATATATAAAATATATTATATTATAATATATATATTATATTATATAGATTATATATAATGATATATAAAAAATATATTAAATATTATAATATATTATTTATATGTAGTATATAATATATTATTTATACATAGTATATAATATATATATATATTATTTATATTATAATATAATATATAATATAATATATATATTATTTATATTATAATATAAATATCTTTTTATTTTATTTATTTACTTTTTTTTTAGCTATTTAATTCATTTCAGTATGATGTATAGATATATTTAGGTTCAATATGTGCATCCACCAATATGGCATAGTGATTGAGTGACCATTCCCTTCCTTTCCAACCCATGTTCGATTCTTGTTGCCCACATTCATACCATTTAAGTTTTGCACATAATTCAAGGGTAAAACAGTAATTCATGCAACTTTGGGGTGGAAAAATGGAGAAAAAGTCGCACACCACGCGCGTGCACTCCACTGCCGTCATCTTAGACGGTTTAGGGGGTTTCGCGCATGCAAACCTTAAATACAAGGGGGTATGACGCAATTTTTAAAATACAGAGGGAAAACGCGCAGATTTAGTATAATACAGGGGGATTTGGTGCAATAAACCCTGCACACTTAATAGATCTTAGCCTGAGTTTTTAAATAACAAAATGAACTAAAACCCAAAATTTAAGGCAACATTAAATGTTATATGATTTTTAAAGAAAAACATAAGAAAAGTAATAGCACTTACATTTAAGGCAACATTAAATGTTATATGATTTTTAAAGAAAAACATAAGAAAAGTAATAGCACTTACTAATTATGGGTTGTATTAAATTCTTGAAGAATGCTCTTAACAAGCTAAGATAAGAGAAAATTCTTCTAGGCAAGAAGCAACAGGGATGGAGACTCAAAGATGAGTAAATGAAGAACTTGGCTCTTTGAGATCTTATAGTGGGATAAAGGAGTGATACATAGCTTTCGACTGACTTGGAGCTAGCAGTGAAGTTCCCGCATTCGAGTTGCTACTATTTTTGGTAAAATGTTATTTTTATTATATAGATATAGATATAGATAGATAATTACAACATTAAATATATTTTCAAATAATTATTTATTTCTATGTCATTATATTGAGAGAAAAAAATATAGACATAAATATTGTGAAGTGTCGTACTTGCCAACTATAATAAAATTTGCAACCACTATAACAAAAATAATAGGGGAGGATGAAACATCGAAACAAAGTTAGTTAGCTTCCAATTGATAATAAAAAATGAGCAAATGATAGTTATAGCAATTCGAGACATTTCTCATTGAGTATGAAGCAAAAAGAAGACAATAGAAAATAATATTAAATACCACAACAATTATGATCAGTATTTTAAGAAATAATAAGGATGTCATTGGTTAACAAAATCATAGACAACATTGATTTCTTAGTATTTAAAATTCACAATATATATATATTCCATTTTTAATACTCAAACCAATATTTTTTTATTTAATTTTATTTCTCATAGCTTTCAGTTAATAATATTAAATATTATATTTCATTTTTCAATACATTGTTCATAAAATACACCTATGTAAAACTGATGAAAAGATAATTGAATTATACTATAGGTATAATAATAAAAATAATTTTAATAAAAAATAATAATATCACGTGCTACGCACGTGCATCTTCCTAGTTATATGAATGTGGGAGTATGTGAACCAAAGTCGACACAAAATTGGAGGATCAGTTCATAGCACAATCGGAACAAATCCGGGAGTATAAAAAGGCTTGGGCACACCAAGTGCACAATACTTATAATAGTTGTTTATTTAGTAAGAATTTATTTCTACTAGTGTTAACACATGCATGTGTAGCGGAAATGCTTCAATAAATTTTAAATGGACCGCTTTAGGTTGAAGTAAATGAACAAAGGAAAAATGCTCAATAATTCTTTTTGTACCTGATTGAAGCCTGACGTTTATAGATTCGGCCAAAGAGTATCCACATAACCCAGTAAACCTCGGTATCATTGACATCTTCAACAGCTAGTTGACGCAAGAGCTCTTCAGCTATTCTTTCCACTGAATGGGAATCACTTACTGCCTCCATTATCTTCATCCAGAAATTTGAACCCGGTTTCGACTCAAATATTTCACTAATATCCAGATCAGAGGTTGATGACAGAACACTCCTAATATGCTCAAGAATCTGTGGGACCACCTCACTCAGCAGCACATCTGCCAAAAATGTAAGTTGTGAAAAGGCTACGGTTTATGCTGCTTTTCTTAAGCATAAAATATGTGGGTCCCTAAATATTTGGAATTTAGACTCTAAGAATTTCAAAATACCAGTGGACCCTCGACGACAGATACGGGAAAAAATTTCTCCAATGAAAAGAATCGCCCCATTAGTATGGCTATCATCAGCAACAGCTAACTTGTCTACTAACTTCTGATCCCATTCCTCCACTCCATAAAGAAGCTGTGTGGTAAGCCTCTTGATGAACAAACTGAAAGATGAGTAAAGGAAAGAAAAAAGGCCAAAAAGCAAAAAGAAAAAAGAATGAAGAATGAAATTTAGGACCCAAAAATGACGGTGTGGTTTACTAGTACATGCAGCAAAATATAAAGTATTGAAGTTAATGTCTCTGGCTTTTGAAAATAAGAACATATTTAAGGCTTTATACCGCATTTTTAAGCTGCGAGACCCTGGAAATAACAAGAACATATTTAAGGCTAACACCAGGGTTCTTTTACAATTCAATAACAAGGATACTGCGGGGAAAGTGAAGTTGGAGCTCCTCGTCTGGCTTTGTCAGGAATAGATGTAATAAGCTGCGAGACCCTGGAAATAGACTGCTTGAGTTGTTCACGGCTGATATTCTCAGATTGGCAAAAACCATAAAATTCTTTAGTCATTTGCAGTATCATATCATTCTCCAGCAGGCAAAGGACAAGTAACCTGTAAAAATTCCATGAGAAATAATTCCCATGCGAACTACTATTACCAGACATCCCCATCCGTATATAGTTAATGAATGATGATTGAGAAGTAATACAAAATATTTCTATTCTATTTAACTAACTCATATGGACATGAAGTGTGCACAACCAGGAGGCATGAACATTCTATAGTAACCACTGGCATCTCGAAGAACAATAAAGATTCTTATACAAATATGTGGACAAATTGACATATACAACTCCCAAGACAATACACATCCAAAACAGTTTGTTTTAGCTCTAATAAAGTCATTACCTAATGCAAATAGAACGATTTATCCGCTAGTAAATATTATGGATTTAAAAATGTCTGGAGTGGGAACAGAACAAAAAGCTTTGGATATTTTGATGGTGGGAACAGAACAAAAAGCTTTGGATATTTTGATGACTGCTCATGGCATTGCTTCTTTGACCAGCAAGGGGTCAGATAGATGGAGCAAAACTGGACAGGCCAAACACCCGATTGAAGAAGATAAATACTTAACTTATTTACCTCTCAGCATTAGAGCATACAGACAATGAGTTCTGACCACCACTTCCACTAAGATGTAGATAAGGAACCACCGCCTGAACTACTTCAGCAGCACAACCATTTACAAAGAATGCATCATATACATGTCTCCTGGCAGAAGCTGGAAAGCATGCTAGCCAACTGGAAGCAACATCTACACATGATGATACATCATTCAGAAAAAAAAAAAAAATAAAATAAAATAAAAAAAAAGATAAAAAAAAAAACTGTACTCTAAAGTAAAAGGCATTATCTTGATTTAAGTATCTTACATTTTCTTGTACAAGAATTTACAATCATAAGATATGAGTAAAAATTGAATAACAAGGTGTATGTCCAGATATTAAAAAGGAATAATAAAACATTTAATTAACTCGCGAAAAAATCACATTCGTGATTTGGGATCATATTTGATCATTCTAACAATATAAACGAAAAAAGGAATTAAGCTCACAGTTGCTAGCAATGCAGTATATCGTTAACAATAAAATATTCCAATTCAAATTGACAAGTTTTTTAGATGATAAAATCTCAATTGTATACATCAAACAGATGTGAACATGATATACTTTTCGGTATAGCTTACACTTAAAAAAATATAATAGGGTAAAACCAGGACTTAAACAACTCAGTCAAGACACAAGATTAAATTTGCAAATCACAACAGAGCAGAATAGAAAATAACAATACAAAACAAACACACAAATGGGAACGATACAGTAGGGAAAACTCAAAATTTACCATATAACAGAACTCTAGAGAAAGTACTAAATGAGGACCCTCTGTAGAAAACATTCCACCAATTAGTTCTCTCGTCTTCACTTGGAATCTCCACAGCTAAGAACTACTCAAACAACATAAACAAGTCGTGTAAGAATCCTTGTTTAACCTCATGGAAAATAAAATGCATATTTTTCATTGGTTTGTCGACTTTTGTTAAACTCACAAACAGAAGCACAAAACAAATTTTGTACCTCGTCCCGATATTTCTCATTGACACTGCCTTCATTTGCCACAACAGAAGGGAAAAAAAAAAGAAAAAAAAAAGAAAAGAAAAAGAAATAGTAATTAGCAACCAATACTTAGCAGCGCATATGTTAGTCAGCTTGCATTTCTCTAGCAAGATGAATTTTGGCCAACAAGAATTAAAATAAAACCTGAAACAGAGTCGGAATGAAGGGGGAAAAGGCAGACGGCAAAAGAGTAGAGAGCTAAGATAACTTGATCAACGTGCTTCGCGTCATTTACCGAGGAGACGACGAGTCCGACTTTCTCCAGCACTCTTCTCACCATTTCCCTCCTGTTCTTCTGCGCGGTCTTGACTCCATCCATTGCGAGTTTAGACACCGCAGAGAAATCATATACGGCGAATGAATCAATAGAAATTCTGGAAAAGCACCAAGCAGATTGACGAGAATGAACAGTTTCTAAAGTTATCCAGAATAATAAGTTAAAATCTTCACCCTAAAAAGTGTGAAAGCATTATGCAATAACTATGCGAACAATCGTGTGAATGACATTGGCAAAAATTAAAAATGCAAGGTTTCGCATAATTTTCCGCACTTTTTAATGTGATTATGCGACAGTCATGCGAACTATTCGAATAGCTTTCACATTTTTCGAGGTAAAAAAATTAGATTATTAGCTATCGGAGTGAAAAACTTAATATATTCTTCAAATACTTAATATAATTTCAATTTTCCAACTAATCCTAATTGTGGGACTTTGAGCAAATAGCCTACTTTTTTTTTATTATTTATTCACATTTTTTACTCGCGTTGCGGTTGCATTAGTCGTGGCCAGGGCCGACCCGGACCCGCGAACCGGCCCGAAACCTGCCCAGACCAGGGCCCAGACATACGTGCCCGGGAACCGGACCCTTAACACTGACTTTCAACCCACCAGTCCGGGCCGGGTCCAGGCCCGGGCCGGGTTTCCTTTTTTTGCGGTTCTGGGTCGACTGCTGGGACCCGAAACGGCCAGATTAAACCTGGGTCGTCTGATCAATGTGACTGTTAGATATATCCAACAGCCATTATTTTATTTTTATTTTTTTGCGAGCCGGGTCGGCAAGGGTCATATTTTTGCACGCGGCCGTTGGAACATGTCGACAGTTGCGATCCAACAGCCATCACCCACCCGACCCGCCGGAAGACCCGAGGAACAACGGGTCTCATCCCGGTAAAAAAATCGAAAAAAATCAAAAAAAAAAAAAAAANAAAAAAAAAAAAAAAAAAAAAAAAAAAAAAAAAAAAAAAGCAAACAAAAATCCCAAAAAAACACCTATAAATAGAGGCTCTTTTTGGGATCACAACTTTTGTTCGGGCTGCTGGATTTGCGTGCCTCTTTCCATGTAATTTAGATGGCCTGATCACAAGAAAATCAAAGCTAGTTTGTTTCAAAATAATGCATTCTATTTGAACCAGAGAAAGAACGAGGGTATTATATATGTATAGAACTCTGACCATGTTATTGTCGGACTTACCATCGACTTTGACTCCATATTTGCGAACATCAAATCTTTAGCTTGGTATATGACAACATATACATCAATAGTATCAAAGTGCATATTTCTTTCATCTTTCTTCCGTATGTACGTATTCTTTTTATTTTTTAGATTATAAGTATACGAAATTTCGGTGTAGCCAACCTTCAAACCGAAAACCGAACCAAAAATTTATGGTTCAGTTCGGTTCCAAACTAAAAATCCGGTTCCAAACTAACAACCTGGCTTCAAGCCCCCAAGTAGACCCGGCTAATTGACTCTTATTTCAAGCCCCCAGAATCTATCCGGCTAATTAGCTATTATACACCCCCAGCTTCAAGCCCCCAGGTAGACCCGGCTAATCGACTTTTATTTCAAGCCCCCAGAATATACCCGGCTAATTAGCTATTATACGCTGTTAACCTAAGTTCATAAATGTTGATCTATACAGATCATTTTCCCGCTAATAAGTAACTCTACTAGTGCCATTGGCATTACCAGTCCCGCTAGTAGAAAACTTAACAGATAATTACCGGCCTAGTGACTCTTGTTTCAAGCCGCCATGATAAAAGTTCACATCACACATTCGGCCCGTCGGCCGTCATCACATGTATATAAAAACTATACTACCACATGTTTATAACCATAGTATAGAACCCCCACCTGATAATGATGAAGCGAGGAAAAACGTGCAGAAGGAGAGTAGCTGACGTTCTAACAGCTCTCGAGCTACGACTCCTCGAAATCTACGATTTAAATAATTTTACTTCTGATTACTAAAGGGCGACAACAAACAGGCAAAACAAGGAAATTAAGGCAAATTAAGACAAATAAAGGCAAACAAAGCACAAAAATAACCTGGCAAACAAAGGCTCTAAAACACAGCAACAACCATCACGAAAATAAAGGCAAAATACACAACACAAAACATGTTGTTTTCAACCAACTTAGACATGCTCTCTTTCTTTTACCTTCTTTTCTTCATCCTTTTTCTTATAACTTAAACCACCAACATATCAGCCATAAGACTTAGCATAAGGTCTGAACACTTATAAATTCGGCCTGTTTTATCAACGCAACAGGCTCAAAGCTAGGTAATATTCTTAGGCCAATCATCACCACTTAACATTCATGAATCAAGCCTTCCATTTGTCTCATTTATCTCAAAATTCCAAAGACCACACAAAGATTAGCAACAACTGGAACAAAGCTCCAACATGCATTTAACAACAGAATTTAGAACACACAAAAGGTATCAACAAGTAAGGCATTTAAACAAAGTACACAAAACCACATAAATAGCCTTCTTATTCTTTCAACTATTTCTCAATACTTGAGCAATACACCTCAGCCTTAGAACTGAAAATCTAGACCTCCAAAATATACATTTTTAGCATGCCAACAGACACAATAAGCTTCAGCAACAACATGACAAACGGCCAAGGAAAACAACCCAAAAAGCCTAACTTTCATTTTCTTATCTCATGCCTGAGTTAATCACATTCAAGGGCCCAATAACTGAAACAAAGCTCTAGAAATACTCCATCTACAGCATGCTAAACACATCATATTATCTCAGCAAAAAGATCTACACATATGGCATAAAATTCACATGAAACTCATATCACTTTATTCTTCATTTTCACCAAGTCAAAGCATGCCATTTCCTAACTTTTAAAAACTGAAACAAGCTCATCTACTCAGCCATAAAATGAGGTGCAAGGTTCAGCCCATTACCGTGAAAACAGAGAAGAAAGGGGCTCGGTTCCAACGGTTCTTGGCTCGGGTTTCTGCTGCTCGGCGCTTGACTTACTTAAGGATCTTGCTTACTGCTCTCGGCCGGAACCGACTGCTCTCAACTCGTCGCAAAGGGTCAACCCTCGACAGCCACGTTCGGTCTGAAGAGCCGTCGACAACTGAAGCTCTTCGTGGGCGTTTTCTAGCTCTCGGTTGCACGATCTCAGATGCCTGGACTGATGCTGCTCTCGTCTGAGAACAGAGGATTAAGCATTTCAAATGTCGGCTCTTGGCTGCTCCTCTGTCCGGTGGTCGCTTGTCCTGCTCGGTACTTGCCGGAAATCCAACCGTCAGGGTCGGGTCTGGTCACGAACGCCGGCTCTCGATTGGAGTTCTTCTCGGCTGTGGGGTGGTCTTGTCGCTGGAACCTGGTGAGACGCAGCAAGGCGTGCTTGGTGCGCTCGAAAATCTGCTCCAGTCGTCGGTAGCTTGCTCTCGGTCGTGAGCCGTCTGGAAGATTGGACTTAGCCGCGACCAAAAGGGGTCACTCGTCAGCTCTCCGGCGACGCTCTCGGTTGCTCGACCTTAGACGCACGGAACTCAACGGAGCCCCGACGTTCTCCTCGCCGCTGCAAGGTCTGCTCGGGAATTTCGACCGAAAAGTCGCTGCTCAGGGCTGAATCGCTAAGGGGATTTTATGAAATTTTTGGGAGATGCGGCTGAGGACTCTTACTGCTTAAATAGGGAAGAATTAGGGCTCGCTGGTGGTGGCCGAAATTGGGGGAGTTCGCCGGATTTCATAAAGGCTGTTACGGCTCTTTGACTGCGCGATAATGGCGAGAAGAGGGAGATGGGATGCTGCGATCGATTTCGTAAGGGTGATTGTTGGAGTTGAATGGGCTGGTCTTAATGGAGGATTGGGCCGAGATAATTTGGGCTGCTGGAGTCGAAGCTTCTTGGACAGTTCAAATGGTCTAATTTGGGGCTAAAAGACATAATTAACCACCTAATAAAACCCATTTACAAAATATAACTATTTTTGATAATTCCAAAATTACACCATTCATTCCAAAACGTGTCAATAATAATATTATGAAAAGTTAAAAAACAAATAATTAAAAGATTAAACTCATAAGTAACTACTTTCTCATCCTCTTTTTTTTCTCTCTCTTTTTTGCACGTCTACTAATTCTTCTCTTCTCCTCTTCTTTCACTTTTTCTCTTTCTTCTTCAATTTTCTTCTTCTTCTTCAAATATAAATGCCTAAAGAATAAAAAAATAATTGATAAAAAAATACACAATTATTTCAAAAGGCAGTCGATCGAGCAACCAAAAGAAAAAAGAAAAAAACATGAACTATGTATGTGAATGAGATAAAAATAACAAAAAAAATAACTATTTTTGGTGCAGCAACAACAAAAAAACAACATAACAACTATCAAACTACACAAAAAAACAACAAGGAATAAACATAGATTGAATCAAAATTTCGGTGAACGTATATTATAAATCTCTTTGTTACATAGGCATCTAAAATAACAACAAAGCATTTTTCCCAATGTTATCAATGAAAATAGTAACATCTTTTAATGACAAATCAACATTTTAGCAACTACCCCATTACCTCCACCACACAAGCAAGAAAAAATCATAAAAATCTCACACATAGAGAGAGCAAGAAACTGAAAGTATCAGACCTCAAAACAACAACCATACAAATTACATGAAAGAGTGTAAGTTTCAAATTCCTAAAATCGTTGTGATATTTCATAGATATACACACCTACAACGTCGATACTCCCAGAAACAAGAGTAACACCAGAAACAGGAGGGCCCTGCTATGATGATTCGTTCGAAGATGGAGTTGACCCGATCCGTTGAAGGTTTTTGCAAAAGAAGAATTCCGTTGAAATTTTTGTGACATAGATTTGGGGTTGGAAAAAATAGATTTGAGAGAAAGTGGACGTGGGAATTTGTTAGGTTAAATAAGAATAAAAATTAAAAAAAGAAAAAAAATTTGGGATGTAGAATTAGAATGAAAATGAATAGAAATTAGGGAGGGGGTGGAGCTTTGTATCTGAGAGAGAGAGAGAAAAAGAAAAATTAGAGA